CTCCCCCCCCCCCCCTCCGCCACCCGCCACCCGCCACCCGCTCATGCCATCGTTCAACCGAACAATTCGCACAATCTATCGTTGCGTCTTGCTCGTTTACCTTCCTCACCTACTTCAGTTATTCTTTATTTCCTGTTCTCTTACCGCTAAAGCATAATCAGAACACCACCACCAACACACTGCTTCATAATCGTGAGTTTTTGTTCCATTGTTCAAGCAAAACTATAATAATGAAAAATTCACAATTTATTTGACAAGCATTTACGATTTCTGATAAAATAAAGAATAAATGTCACGATGATTTATGAATCTATACGACAGCTAATAATAACTTATAACTAATAATACAAAAAAAAAAAAAAAATAAATAAAAGTAATTTGATTACATTGAGAAAAGCGGAAGTAGATACTTGCGTTCTTGCGTTCAATTTCTTATTTATTATTTGAGAATTTTTTATGAACAGCTTCTTATTACTTATTATGTATATTACAAATTTAAAATTTCGTTAATTGAAAATTTAGAGGAAATATGGAATTTCATGAAAGAAAATTTATATTTAAACAATATTGGTTTGTATCAAAATGTCAAATTATATTAATAATAAGCAAGCTACATTCAGTCGTACAAAATTCAAAATAATATTTACATTCTAAATGTGCTTTATAGCTCATATTAAAATTATTATAAAATAATCGCATAATAAAATCTTGAAACTCTAGAAAACAAAAAAATTTACTATAAAACGTCCGATACTCAAGAAAATAACAATAATATTTAAAAAATGTCCGTGCAACCCGTGAAATAAAAAATTGAAATTTATAGTAAATTCTATCATCTTGTCTCAATATTTAGTTTTGAAAAATTCTGTAATAAAAAAATGTCATTCTTATTAATTCAGTCTCAAATTCGTGGTAATAAAAGGACGTTAGTTTCAAATAAAAAAATTCCAGCAACATCTTATGATTGATATTAATATTGAATAATGAACTTATTGCCTTAGATTAAAATCCTTATGTAAATTTACATTTTGTAATTAAAAATTCTTCTCAAAATATTGGGCAACGTTAGAGCTTAAAACTTACTCTTATTATTTGACTGTCCTTTATGTATGTAATATACAACAGTTTTATTAAATTACTTATTAGAATTTAACTACATATACTTAAAATTGAGTACTAATAAAATTTTTATAACGCGTACGATAAGTTAAAAAAAAAATGCTATAAAAATGACTATAATAAGTAAGAATTGCAAAGCTTAAAATAACGATCGCCGCTACCATTTTAACAACGTGTTTCGTATAATTTAATACAAAATTGAAAATGAGAAAAGAATTAACGGCAATACAGATAATCAAAAGTTCTCAAAGAAACAAGATAAGTCCCATCTTTCATTTTAACGATTAGAGCGGATCGTTTAACACGAGTTTAACTATAAATTGCAAAAACATTATTAAAATTTGTAAATTAAGGAAAAAACTTTTTTCATTCCTAATCAGCGAGGCATCGCTTAACTTATGAAAATTGAGCATTATGCATTAGCATCTCTATCCTCTTACGGCTTTTACTTAAAGCGAATATTCATCTTAACAAACCAATTGCTTTTATTGTGCTTCATATATATATATATATATATATATATATATATATATATATATATATATATATCTTGCAGTTTTTTCTCTCTCTCATTTTATATATATATATATATTGCAGTTAATTTTCTCTCTCATATTTTTTTTGTTTTGTTTTTATTATTTTGAGCTCTCTGACACTGTCATAGATTATTTTAGTTTTTCTATTTATTCTTCTATATTCTTAAACCATTTACGTTATTTTCACATTTTTCTTCGTTCATGCTCTTCTCATCGTCGTTTTAGTAATAATTAAATTAATGTTAAATTAAGGACACAGATTTTTTTTTTATTAATTATCTTCATTTATGGCTTTAGCTAATGCTTGCATATGTAATGAAAATATTAATGAAAATATTATTCTGCTATTAAATAAAAACAATACTGAAAAGTGTTGAGTATGTTAAAATGGTAGCTTAGCTTTGTATAACTTAAATGGGAAAATGATCTACGTTAAGCTAAATAAATCTTATAATTAAATTTGAGCTTCATTTACATGTGTGATGAATAAAATAAATTTGTATTTGAATTTTTATTAGATTCTACCTGCGGTGCAAATAAATGTTTTGCAAATGAATTAGTATAACATTTATAGTAAATATGTTAAGGAATCATGTTACCATAAAAAGAGCTTATGATGATTTTAATAATTATTGGCAGTGCTAGATCATTAATAAAGGCTAAACTTAATCCAAAATGTTCTCTATGCATACAAAGCTGACCGAAGGACCTTAAATTGGGTCAGGATGTTGAACAGACTGTTGTAAACCGAAAGCTTCAATATTATGAGAATAATTTTGAGAATATAAGAAGAAAAGTATTTCAATTTTAATATATCGTTCGTACATATTAATTTTAAGCTAATTCAATTAAATTATAAATAAGCCTATGTTGCATTTCATAAGTAGGTAATAAATAGGTTAAAATGAACAAATTGAACCTTTAGAGATTTTTAATACATGAAAGTAAGAGCAATTTTTGTCGATTAATTAGATCAGATATTAAAAAAAAAAAAAAAAAAAAAAAAAAATATATATATATATATATATCAAATACAACATCATTATTGATTATCGAATGTAGTTAGAACATTTTAAGTTCATTGTACCGAAGTAACTGGATGATAATTTATCGAAACGTTTAAGAAAACCATTAAAAAAAAATATGAAAAACCTTTTAAACTTTTGCTTTAATATAGTTGTTCAGTAAATACTTCAATACCTTTTAGGTCATTCTGAAAAAATCAATTACTGTGTAATATTTACTTCTAGTAACGCTTTCAGGAGTGGCCGTAATATATGGAAATTTATTAGAACGTTTGAATAATCATTCTATTTAATATAAAATTGTGCAAGTATGAAAGCCTTTAAAAGTTTCGATTTAACATAGTTTTTAAACAAATACTTCAATATATTTTATATCATTCTGAAAAATCAATTAGCGGATAATATTTACTTCTAGTAATGCTTTCGAAAGTAGTAATAATCTGTTGAATAAAATAAGTTTAACTTTTACTATTCAAATACGACAGTTCCAAATTTATTTTGACTCTAAATTTCTGTTTTAATATATGTATAATGAAATATTTTCAGATATCACATCTTCTTATTTATCTTGATAATAATGAGCGACAATAAATAAATGTTAAATAATATTTCACTTAATTGTCAATGAATAATATCAATAAATAATGGCCTTATGAGCATTATTTTATCTGAATATTTTCATTCTAGCTAAAAGATCTTAAATTTAATACATTCATAATGCATTAACTATAGATCGAAAAGAAATAAATGCTTGTCGATAAGGTTTTTAAACTTCCTACTTCATAAGAGGAATAATGGAGTGCGTACTCTAAATAATTTATCCTTACGAAATAATAAAAAAACATAACGAGTCTACAACCTAACAAAAATTGTAGCCTTTATTCTAAAAAATGGTGAAGAGTATTTGGTGATTCGTATTAAATATATTTATTCGCTTGAATATTACGAATATTTTTTCAGACCATCACATACCGATATGACGCATTTAATAAACTTGCACTATAATTTATCCTTGGTAATTAAAAAGTTACACACACGCACACACACGCACACGCACGCACACGCACACACACACACACACGCACACGCACACGCACGCACACGCACGCACGCACACACACATAAATACATTTACCTATTCAAATCTGAACCCCCGATTATATATTTTATGAAAAAAATCGAAACGACGTAGGGTGCACGCTAATGTTAATAACCATTTCAGTCAATTAGGAGACGGCCATATCTAACGAGATTAAATCAATTGGATAAAGCTCGGTATTGTACTTGTCGTACCATAAAGTAAAACAACAGAATCAAAACGTCACTCATGATAAATCCAAGTGAACGTGGCAAGATCCGACAATAGTCAGAGCCTAATTGAATAAGTCCCCCGAAGCAAAACAAGACGCAGTATTTACCTTGGGCTGAGCTGTTATCAAGGACCGACAGAAGGGCGAAGAACAATTGAATCAGCATTGTTTCTCGCCTGAAGATCAATCGCGCACTTTAGTCGTAGTTATGGAGATTCCATCACATTGCGTAACGGTCGAATTCTCGTATTAACTCGTCACTCAGATACGCCGGTATTTGGACACTTGCCGCCGGCGTATCGCAGCACCGATAGCCCCACTACTTGTCGGCGCTGCGCTTCATGGTCACCATAATCCCCGGTATCGCACTTTACGGAGTTGAGAGCTACGTCTTCGGGCTTTTTTTTAAATGTTATTACGGTCAGGCCATTGACAAGAAGAATAACGACATGAATGATAAGGAGGAAGACGTCGCTGCTGCTGCTGCTGTTGCTGTTGCTGCTGCTGCTGCTGCTGCTGCTGCTGCCGCTGCCGCTGCCGCTGCCGCTGCTGCTGCCGCTGCTCCTGCTACTGCCGTTCCTTCATGATTTTGCCGCATCATTTATCGCATCATGCGCTCATTGAGGCCCCCGCCGAGAAGACAAACTGCAGCCGACGAGATAATCCAGCTGCTGTCCATTGTTCGTCCTCGGCTGGCAGTTAGGCTTATCGCGAGCACGCGTACCCCGTCACACAATTTGCCCCTTTCACGACCGCGCTATCTTTCGCCTCGTCATCACCGACGTCTGACCTCGTTAAAAAGCCCCGGGCGACAACGAAGCCCACGGTCAATTATTCCTCCGACAGCCGTGGACAACCGATGCCGTTTATCCTCCCGCGGATTCGCATACTTCCCGCTGCTCGTTACCCCTACCCGAAGGAGAAGTCCGTGACTGCAGCTATGGCTCGGCGCCGCGCGCTATGAGACTGCCGCTCCTGGCTCGTCCTCCTACTCGTCCAACCGCGCGCTCTCGCCCGGAGCTTGCGCCCTTGCGACCCAGAGAGAGAGAGAGAGAGAGAGAGAGAGTGAGAGACGACCGAGACACCCCCGTTGGTTGGCGCGCGACTCCCGCTGACAACTCGGCTCTAACGCCGTGCGAATGACTCCATTCATGTGTCGGTCTGACCCCACGGTCTTCCCTTCCCTACCCCTC